TGTCTGGGTAGGGTACTGACGGGACTACACTACACTTGGTAATGATAACTTATCATTGCTATCGATTTCGTGTCGATGTAACGACGATAGCAAACAGGGTGAAAGTCTTATCACATCCTCGTAATCGTATGTCTTTCCCTTATCCATTCTAACCAAGACACAAGAGGAGGCACATCCTAGGCTAGTTAGTTAAGACACAAGTTTGTCAGCTATAGTTCGGTTATGACTGTCTAAAACTATCCATAATTTGTTACAAGTAACAATCTTCAAGAATCTGGTTGCTGTAACTAGAATTGGAGTTTCATTAGCAATTTCTTCGCGGTGAAAACAACACTTTATTACAACACCGGCAAACTGTCCGCCGCTAGTCGCCATGTTGTTGTTTACTGTTGTTGGCTGTACCACAACACGTGAAGTTATTGTAATAAAAACAATTTAATAGTAGTCTAAAAAATTTTATTCTGTAATTAAAATTCAAACTATATCTAATTATAATTTTTTAATTTGTTTCTAAAGCAGTAATACGAATTTCACAAATAATAAACTACGTATCAAAAATACAATATTCGAACGAGTACAGTGACGTATGCAAAATGTCGTGTGCTAATCCAGCGCAAAGAACTTTCAATTTCGTAAGTTTAAACGTCATTTTCTCGTATTTGCAGAAGTTCTGACGGTCGAACTTTTTTTTGGTGCTTTTAAATATTATTATAATAATTATCATAATGAGTAAAAGTATTAGGAAAATTTCGGAACGGGACTGAACGTTAGGATTTTCACCCCATGGCCTATCATGCGCACAAAAAAATATAGACCAAAGGTCATGCATAGATTGCTTGTTATTATAGGTTGGTGGTGGCGGTACACAAAAGAACACGCATTCAAATTATTTCCTGAATTGAAATAGGGCCTAGGCTAGGCCTAAACACGTTTGTTGAATTTTGTGCTAGTTAAACTTTTAAATGTATACATAAAGGTATGTTCTTAGTTTAGAGTTTTCTATTAGATATATCATTTTTGTTAAATAAATAGCTGGGCCTAGCATATGGAAATTGCGTGTGTTGTAAAAATGTTTTTAAAAGGGTTTTCCCCGTGGCAAAAAATTGAAAGCGGCAACGCCTCCTTGCTATGATATATGATGTATTTGCTACCGACTGCTGAGAAACAGAAACTGATTTTTTTCACTCTGTAAATGGTTAAAAGTCTTCCTAGTGGTTAGTACTCAATGGTGTGTATAGTTAATAATAGTATTAAGTACTAAGTAGTATGTAGGTCAGGCCTAACCTATAAAGTCAAAGCAAGAAAAAAGAGCTTGGACTCGAGGAGGACCGAGGAGGATAGTAGGATCATGGTAGGATTGAAGAAAAATGCCGTGTTTCCGTGTTTATTGTATAAAGTAGAGTAGGCAAGCCACTTGGCATGGTCTGTACTAGGCCTACTACTATTATTAGGTAGTCTGTATTGTAAGTAAAGTATACTTAGTATAGTATTGTACTAATAAAATACCAAACTATGCACTTGTCCTTGCTTGCCAAGTTAAATAAATACTACCTAGTTTATTTACCTAGGCCTATATAGGCCTAGGGATTTTTGATCTATTTTTTTAGACATGATGGGGGATAGGCTAGGCCTAGCAGAAGTAGAACTTCATTTACTAACGAAAAATGATATTAGCAGAATCACAAAATACATCGATAAAACTTAAAGAAAGCTTATCCAGGCAAAATTTGTCAAAATGATATGATATTGAGAATATTTTATTCTCAATCGTTACATCATCACTATTTCATAATACAAATTGTATTGTACATATAGGCCTATGATGTCCAAAGTTCAGTCCCATATTTAATAAATATGTAAACCATGGATAATATGGATGGTCATATGACGTCACATCATGACCATATATATAGGCACATCATGGCTAAATATGGGCATACAACAGTTTTTTGTCTAAGAAAATTTGATACCTGTAGCATGGACAAAGCTTTAGTCAAGGAGTATCTTAGCATTAAAAGCACCAAGTTAGGCCAAATAAAAAAAAATACTAGTTACTTGTCCCCTCGCGCATCCATTTTCTCTGCCTCACCAAATTTATTTTATTTTCTTATTACCTTTATTTTAAAAAATGTCCGAAAATCTGTCTAAATCACATCAGTAAAATCCCTTTCTCGATTCGTGGCTAGGGATACATATGGTATGAATCATGTCTAGTGCTTCTTTTATTTGCTTTCAATGTGTCTGCTTGGTAAAAGTTAGCCTGGGTTCCAGGCCCTAATATTAGGTTACTCACTCTTTATTGCACTTAGTGCGCGCCATACCTAATTTAATTGGCGTCCCATACTCGATTTCTTTTTTTTTCGAATTATATGCTTTCAATGTGTCTAATTGGTAAAAGTGAGAAAGTAGTAGCTGTTTCCCAAATTTCAGGACGAGAAACTATTTTTTTTTTGTTTCAGTGGTTGGTTATTAAAAAAAATATTAATAGTACTGTGTGATATGACAACAAACTAAGGCTTTCGTTTACCAGTTGATGAATATAATGGATAATTCTTTATTTTCAGATCAGGATCTGGTCTTTTTAAATTAATAGTTGCTGAAAAAGTTTTGCTCATCATTTCCAAATATGGCAGCGGCTAAAGTGAAACAGCGTTATGTTGTTCTCCACCATCCAGACTTTGAAAACTTTGATAATGAGATGTCTGTGGAAGACTATCAATATTACACTAAACATAAGGATGAGTTTATGCAGATGTGGAATGAGCAAGTATGTACATTGGACGTTTTATTAAGTCTAAGTTTATCGGAAAGTGAATGTACAGCACTCTTTTGAGCGAAGATAAACATAATTTTGAGTAATTGCCTTCCAAAGTTATTTGTGCATACATTGTTTAATAGAATTAACTATCAAACTAAAGGTTAAATGAATGATTTGTTGATCATTTCCAGAACTAATACTTTGGGACATGATTAATAGGACATTAAACTGTTGATATAGTGAAAAACAAATTTGGATTTTTAGGCAATTTTTTGAGCTCCCATATTTTATAGCTCATTTACGGTACTCAATACTGGCCTGTGTGACAACTTAACCATTTCACCACGACATGCCTCAATTTTCTGATCTTGTTTCTTTCTTGATTTCATCAGCCATTAATTTTCTGGAAACGACTGAACTTGAACTACAAAGGTTTTCTTGTTGATTATGGTACAGTTTACAAACTAAGGGCCTCGGTGAGTACACCTTGATTTTAACAGTATGGAGAAATACAATTTGAACTCCATGTAAAATATTTTTTGGTATATGGAAAAATACCATTTGAACTCCATGTATATTATATGCAGATACCGAAAAAAATTAATTATTAGTAAATTATTGATGTATAGTAAATTTATTTATATATTTAGTTTTATTATGTTAATTTTGTTCATAAATATAATTTATTTATTACAGGGTCCCCTGATGGATATGTTACTAAAAGAGTGCTGGGGATATATAGACAGGCAGACAACTAAGGGTAAATACCAACTTTAAGTTGTAAATGTTAAAAGGAAGCTTTCGATTTTCGCAATGAAGCGATGCTAGAACGGAATCACTCATGCGTGACTGTCCTACCAGGTAGATTTGGTCAAATCGCATCCTAGATTCCAAGCGACAAGGAGAACTTAACGTTATCCCATGCGCAGAGGACTTTTAGTGATGTCATTACGTTCTACATCCGGCTGTCGTCGAAAGCTCCCCAAAGTTAGGTTAGAAAGTTACGTTATAAAAAGCTGAGCCGTATCGACCGCTATCTGTAACGTAAGCGTGTCACATAATCATGGTGTTGACGTCTTCAACATAGTACTCTACGTCAGTCTTAGTCTGCGCTCTTGGATTTTATCTCCCAAACTCCCACTCATTCTTTACTCAATTGTTATAATTACATTATAAAAACAGGTTTGAAATTTAAAAAGATGAACATTAATTGAATAAATTAAACTGATTGATGATGAATAAATATTTTTTATTTGTATTGTAGGTAACGATGTTGAACTTGTTATGCGGCTCATTGAAGATGGTTATGTGTTAATGAAATCAAGAGAGCTCCTTCCTTTTGTTGATGTTCGTGATAAAGGTAGAAAATCTTTTGCTCTATGAATTTTCTACAATATTTTATTAGATGATAAATATTTAAATTTTAGATAATACGTTATGTTAATCTACACAAGCAGGAGCATGGGTATACTGCATAAACTTGGTTAAAATTACTCTAAACATGTCCAATCAGATAAGTGCAGCTATTAGCCATATCGGTTATCTGTATTTGGCATGCTTGTCAAATGAAATGAAATGAACCGTAAACACATTCCATTTTACAGAAAAATTCCTTCTACCACAACATAGAGTAGGCCCATATCTGCAAGTGCAGTGTAAGTGCAGTGTAAAATCAATCATCGTGTGTTTGGGTTTAAATTTATTATATTATTGCTTCCAGATGAAACAATTTTGACATAATGGACTTTTCTGCTAAGCCCCGCCCCTTGGATATTGTTGCTAAGGTTCCGTTTGTAAAGACACATGTGTATTATTTGCCATGTTCTGATTGGTCATTTGTTAAGTTTGATTGACACTCAAAAAATGTCTTATTAGAGTTAGGTTTGCCTCTTTTTTTTCATCATTCTAATATTCTTGGAATATAATTTATGTAAATTTTGTAGTGTTATTTTACAACACATTCCTTGTGATTAATTAATTCAGTATGTTCAATGATAGTCATTACATTTTTTGCATCTTCTTTCTATAGAAAAATGTCCATTCTTGAATGACAGCACAAGAAAAAGCTTTAGAAGATTGTTTGGAGCACCTAAAAAAAATGGTTTACGTCTAAAGGTTAGTTTTTAGCTCCGGTGAGGAGCTCTAGGAACAATCCTCTGATTGATTAATAGATCTTTTTTGTATGGTGTTGGCGAATATACTCTACTGCCTGAAGAGCTCTAGAAACACTTGGCTGATTGATTAATAGATGTTTTTTGTATGGGCGGCTGTTAGGGCCAATATACTCTGCTGCCTTTATTATGCTGCCCACATCGGAGCTTACAAGATTATGAGAACTTGTTTAATAATATTGCATGCAAATTTAACTTTACAGACCTCATTCTATAGGGCCTTTTCTGCCCTAGGCTACAAGCTAACTTAGACCAAAATTTAGGCAATGGCAAAGCTATGCAGTAAATAGAGAATTTCTATGTGTCACTAGTTTTATATTTGAGTACATGTAACAAGAGTGCCAACAGTATATGCTCAAAAGAATTATATCTAATACAAAATATTATATATATTATTTATTCTGATGATTAACTTAATGAAAAGTATATCTCCTATTGCAGGTTTGGTTTCAATATCCGTTATATGTCAAATATACTGGCGCTTTGTGTAAGTATTTGAAAAAATGGATCAACGCGACAGAATTTATAGAAGAAGACACTGGGAACTATTGGAAGCTACCTGTAAAACGTGTTTTGGATGCATATGAGCTGGATTACTCCGTGTTAATGGGTAAAAATACGAAGCCCCCATGGGAACATACGGACACTGATAGTAGCATGTGGTGGGAGAACGGGGGCCTGTCAACAATGATGTTTCTCTCACCAGAAGGGCCCAAGATTCTTGCTCGGTACCTAGATTTGCATGTACCTGAATACATGGACAAGAAAGAGTTAGAGGAACACAGGATAGAGCAAGAAAGAAAGGAAGCTGCTAAGAAAAGGGATGAAAGAAATATAATTGAGTTTGCACTGAGGAAAGAAGCGGAGAAAAAAAATCTTGAAAAAAAAATGGAAGAGTTGCTTATTAGTAAGACGCCTATGCCAAGTATGGGGGTGTTTAAAGGGAAGAAACCAACTATACCGGAAGCTCTCAATAACAAAGCAATGCAAGTTTTCAAATTACAAAAAGTTCGTCGAGATGGATATGAATCCAATGAAGATGAAGACTTGGAGGATCCTGAACAGTTTTACAGAAAGTTTGAAATTAAAGCTGAGCTTGTTGATAAGCCACCGCCAGAGGATTGTGACATTCCAGTTAATATATTCTTGGATGCTGCAGAAATGCGAAAAGAGCAGAGGAGGTTGAGAAGTGAGGGTCTTGTTGATAAAGAGCTGTTTGGTGTTGATTCGTCCAAGAAGAAACCCTTAGTGATTGTAGATGAAGATTCAGAAGGTTGGGATGAAGATTTAAGTTATGTGAAACTTAGAGAAAAACTATCCAAGACTGGTGCTATTCCTAAAGAGACGAGCAATGGCAGTGAATCAGGCTCACAAAGCCAAAACTCTAAAGAGAAACTGAAGGAAGCTATAAAACTGGAAATAGATTCCATCACCAATCACATCTCAACAAGGAATATGAAGACAATGGAAAAACTATCAGAAAGTGATTCTGAGAATGATGAACCATCCTCTGAGAAAAAGGAGAAGAAAGTACGTAATTTGACAATCAATCTTGGTGGTAATGGAGGACAGCAACGAAAGGTTGTAGTTACAATTGATAAGGACACACTAAAGAAAGATGCTGGTGGAATGGTTTGGGAACCACCAGAATTTGTAGATTTACTTTTTGCTCAGAAGCTTCTGGCAAAGATGGATGAGAATGATGATGAGGATCCACTTGTTCTACTGGCTAAGCAGATTATGGACATAAAAACGGATGTTGACTACACAAAGAACTTGGACTTGGAGTGTGCAAGCAAGCATCTCCACGTTCTGAGTTATCAGTCCAAGCTGAAAAGATATCCTAACCTGCGGAAGGATATCAGTCCTGAACAAGAGAAGTTGAGAAGTAAGCAGTACAGAAGAAGTGTTGAGGCTTTACAAGGATACGGTATAAGAGCAATTGAGTTAGCTCGAGGTCATGTTATCTCAGCCACTGCATGGAGGTGTGACCTCTTCATGACTGAGGAGTGTTTGGATGGATTAGTAGTTGTAAAAAATACTAAAAACACAACTAAGTTTTCACATAGAACTGAAAAAACCAGAAACCGAAAGCAACGTGTAAAAGCTCCAAAAAACATGAAGAAGGTGATTCGAGAAGAGCGGATTAAACAGAAGAAGGAAGAGCGCATGAAGTCGGTTCGACTAAAACAGGACATCATGCGAAAGCAGTGGGAAGAAGAGAAAGCAGTTGTGGGGAGACGCTACAATTCAGCAAACAATATTGGTGATGAAACACCATTTATGATGTACAAGAGTCTATTATGGGAAGTAGTCAAGGGCGATGTACGAGCAATGAGGAATATGATTACCGTTTTGACTGATACACGTAATGACGACACTAGCGTGACCTCGCTAACGAAAGAACAGAAGCAGCAAATTGAGGATGATAAACAACTTATTGGCGTCTTGATTAAGAAGTTAACGGAGTACAAAGACAGCAAACCGTTCATTGCTTTTCCTTCAGGTATGGAGCAGGTCACTGACATCTACCATGCTGTCATTATGGCCAAGATGCTACGTGAGTCGTTGAGAGAACTAGAAACCGCAGACAACGCTCAGGTTCTTCCAAGCAGGAGTCTCATTTTAGACACATTTGCGGAAATGGTTCCACATTTTGCTGAGGAAGTAAAATTTGATAGTGTACAAAGGGTAAAAAAGTTCTATGAAGGCCGAGAAAAGTACAAATCCTTCATTGAAAGGAAGATTATACAAGAGGCAGAGAGAAGGGTGCAAATAGAGGCCAAGGAGAAGGGGGAATATGTGACGGTGGAAGACCGAGTCAATTACACCAAACGTCCAGAATTCCAGGACTTGGTCTATGAAAAGCTTCTAGAAGGCTCCAAGAATCGTGCTGATAGTGGAAAAGAAAAGAAGAAGAAGACAAAATCTGAAAAAGATAAGAAAGGGGAATCATCAAGTGCTTCAGGTGAGTTATGTTCATAGATGGCAGCAAACGATTAGCAGGATCCATTACTCAATGATCAAGATCTGGATACCCATGTGTGTGACCATGCTTCAAAATAAAAAAAGCCTAAACACATTTTGCAATGGAGAGAAAAAGCACCTCTCTTCACATAATACTCTATATTAAAATCTTACCCCAAAATAAGTACAGTATTGGGAATGAACCAACTCGAGCGAGAGGTGAAAAAGACTGCTGAAATGTGTGCCGGGAAGTACGTCGGAGGGGTAATGAAATATATTATTTAGACCAAAATGTTCTCTCTGCCTAAAATTACATTAAAGAAAAAGAAACATGAGTCTTGATAAAATGTATTCTAATAATAATAAGGATACCTTACTCTAATTTATTTTCTTTTTTAAATCCATTTATTTGTCTATAAGGCCCTTTAAATATTAAAAAGAAAATAATACTGTTTTCTTTTTTACACAGAGCAAGAACAAAAATCCAACATTTCCTTAGACCAACCTGAAGACATAAAATGCAAATCGCCTCCCAGAGATGATGGTAATGCGGATTCGTCATCCAAGGGATCTAGTTTGTCTGAAGAGGCGAAGGCACAGGTGGAAACCGATGTGCAGCTGTTTCTGAGTAGAGGATGTCCGGAAGACTCGTCCCTTGAATCTAGGATATTCTCCGCACTAGATCAGGAAAAACAGGATGAAATAAGGAAGCACTACAGAAAAAAGGCTTTGGAATCGGAAAAAATAGAAGCGGTACCTAGCAATGATGATGTTACAAAATCAAAAAAATCCTATGCGTTCAAGTCCTGTTCTCATTGCGATAAAGTTGAAACTAGTCGAAAGCAGTTTAAACAGTGCCAAAGGTAATTTCAATACAATATTACATATATACGCATTGAGATTTTAAATTTAGTGGCAAATTTGGGGGAGGGGTTTGGAGGGGCATGTTCCCCTGCCCCTACTAGATCCACACCTGAGGTAAACTTTATAAGACTTCATTGGAAAGATTATATAATAAAAAGCTATCTTGGGTGACCAGTGAAACTTGTTCTATGGTGTGTAATTTCTTTTAAAACAGTTGAACTTGCCTAAGTTGAAACCAAAATGCCATTGAAAAATTGTTCAACTTATAAAAAAATTTGACTTACAAGTTACAGATTGTTAATTGAAAAACTAAAATTTGCATGTAAAATAAGATCGACTTCCCGTCTGTCTTCGTTTTTGTCTCTCTATAATATTTTAGGAACCCGTTAGAAACAAGGTCTTTTGAATTGTTACGGGTTATCCTCCATGGCATTAATAACTAATTTATTATATTCCTGCTAAGAACATTGAATTCAAGATTCCAACTAGCTCAAAATCTTTCAAGTTTAAATCCATTCAGAATACAGTACTACTAATTACCAGTTTTACTACCGAACTATACAAGCATTTCCATTTCATGCCTGACTGAGATATTTTTTTTTTTTGTAGATGTGTTGCAGAGAAATCAAAAAGAATAAGGTTTTACTGCACGAAGGAATGCCAAGGTATGTAATGATTTCTTAAGTGATGACATCATAGATGTGTATGTGATGCCACAGACCACCGTTCCGCAACCTATGGGTCGCGACTCAACAGGGTCGCAGGAACAATTTTGATGGGTCGCACAGTCTCTTCTGATTGTGAAAACTTTAATTAATATGATATGACAGGGGCGGATCCAAGATTTCAAAGAGGGGGATTCAGAAAGTTCCCACAAAACCCAAAAAGGGGGGTCCGGGGTCCTCCCCTGTGAAAATGTTGATTCCTAGATGGCCGGAAATGAGCTTTCCCGACTATGAGGTGTCTTTTAATGACCTTTTAAGTTCTTTAAAATTCAAGGTTTTCCCCCTTTTGAAAAAGGTCAGGTAATTTTTTCTCATTCTTAGGCCTATACATAGAGAAAAAAAAAATAAGACATATGAAATATATTATATTCCATTGCAACAATATTGATTAGTTGGATACGTAGTCTTTCCTCCATGGATCGATAGGCCTGAAGAACACACTTTTGTACATAAATTATTACGACAGTGTTTGTTAAATTTATTCAATTGAAGGCTAATTGAGTCTAGTTTGTCTGATCTGCCAACCTATGCCTAGGTAGGTTAGCATGCCTTTTGTAAGCCAGGACCCATTAGTATTTTGTTACGACCCCCTCCCACCCCAGATTCACCACTGTATGAACAAGGACAAACAAAATTAAATTAGAGGAAATGAAAGTACAAATAAAGTGTGCCATGTGCGTCAGTTTACTTTATAATGCATGTGTTATCATACTCTAGTTTCATGTTCAATAATATACTATCAAAACTTTTATGTCTTTGAAACCCATAAATCACTATTCTACAACCTATTTTAATTATGTTTTTTTCTTTTTCATTAACAGTTAATGACTGGAAGCTGAAACATAAGGAGCAACATGCAACTGGTATCTTTAATTAGAATTAACTAATTTCCTTTACTGTAACTGTAAAACAATACACCTCCTAACTTTCACGCATAATGTGCGATTCTCATGCATGCGCATCCACTTTTTACATTTCACGCCTACGTTGTATTATCTCGCGCATCATACATATGTTTTAAGATAAAATATGTAGGCCAATTTTACCCTAAAATACATAAAAGAGAAGTGAATTCGTCATTAAAATATTAATACCGACGGACGACTGTATACAGTCGGTAGCAGTTCCACTAAAAAAAATTTTAAGTAAGGTAGAGGGCGCTCTGTATTGTGATTATTACATGGAGGGCGCTATATACATTTTTTTTTTGTAGCACGCATCAGACATTAACAATGTTGGCAGGCATAAAACAATGTTCAGATTATCAATCGTCATTTGTAAGTAGCTATCAGACCTCTGCAAGGGCCAAGGTTCCTCCTGTAGATAGTCAATATGGTTAATATATAAAATAAACTTCTAAATAAATATATTGTAGCATAAATCTTGGGGTATAAGATGACTCTGACCTTTACTTGGAGCCCAAAAATACATTTATTACCTGTGTTGACATTTACTCAATTAAACCAAAAAAAATGAAAAATTAAACCAAACTCAATTTAAAACATAGTATGTAATATACGGTAGTTGCATTTTATAGCGCTTTATACCAATGTTGGATTTAAATTATAAATGCAGTAAATAGAAAAAGTACAATGAGTTAACCAAATGTAGTCTGACCTGAAGGCCTACTACAATAATGTAATGTGATTTAATAATGAATTGCTGGAGGGTGTAAGGGTGTGTATTTTCAAGTTTCAAATAATATATTGCCACTTTTAATGTTGAAATTATATTGGTATATCTGTAAGACCAAATGTGATGATCATATAAGATGATGATTGGAGTTGGTGGAAGACCAACTCTCGCCTTCAGCCTCATTGATAATAGTAATGGTCACATGACTTTTAATTCGGAATAAATGTATATGAAAATATGTATCTTATTTACGTTTTTTTCCAAATTTGTGAAGGAATATTTTCTGTATATAAATTTTATCATGCAAATCAATCATATAAAAGTAATCATGAGAAAATATACATATGATTTTTTTTTGTGTGATTTTATTAAAAGTGTTTGTTTTATATATATATGGGTATGCACTATAATTTAGCATATAGAAATTTTGTTGGCAATTTATTTTGAGCATAAATTCTAATGAATGAATTTGTGATAAACTTTAAGTTTAGGGACAAAATAAATTCTGTTAAATGAAAACTAGAGTTAAGGATAACATTTTAAATAGTTTTAGTATTAGGTAAGGTTGGCACTTATGCTGTATAAATATTAAAGTTTTATTTGGTGTGGAGTACTTTTTTTTCATTCAACTGCATTAGCTGTGTGAAGCTCTATTAACCAAGCCATAATGCAAGGCTTTGGGAGTATTTTGGTGTGAAGACTTGTTTACAGTGGGGTCCTTCTAGTGGTGATTGGGCAGTGCACCGGGAGACAGTGCACCAGGAGACAATCCCCTACTCTTTTCCGAAGAGTGTACTGCGTTCTTTAACGTGCACATGGGCCATAATGCACATGGGACCAACGGCTTCAACGTCTCATTCGATAGACGGTGCGCTATTGTATTAACTTGCATTTCGGCCCTAAGTCTGAAATACAAGGAGAGCGGTGATGGGAATTGAACCGTGAATCTTCACGGTTCAGTGCACACACAGTGGCTACCACCAGGTTAGCTGACTGAGATAGTGAATTCCTTGAACACTGACTGCTCCTGTGTTCTCTGCACAACATAGGTTTGGGCCACACTGCGTCCTAAAATCCAGACGACAAACAAATAAACAATAACATTTAAAAAAAATAATAATTCTAAATAACGAGTGCCTGATGCATGAATGAATTATTCATTCGTAAGTAGACTTATGGGATATCATAGATTTTACCTAGAAATTGGTGGTTACGATAACCATTATACGTGGTAGGTTTTTATGAGGTATTCAAGAAGAGTATATGCGTTTTATGGAAATTTATGAATACTGTACTTGTATTTACTTTCCACAGGCTCAATATGTAGTTATATAGTAATATATTATATACGAACATCTCGTAGTAGTATTGGTAATGGTTGTAGTGGTGAAGGTTTGTTGGCTGTGTAACACATGGTATGGCCGTAGAAAGAGCTAATGATTTGATTGGTAGATGTGGTGGCGGTTTAAGATTTAGGAAAGGAACCTAATTAGCATGTTTTATCTTAATAATATAGAATCACTGGAAAAAAAACCAATAATAATTCAATACTATAAAGGTACTGTACACAATTTATATTGAAATAGTTTGGTCAAGAATTTCTCAAATGAAATAGCCTGTATGGAAAAATTGTCAAAATCAATAAATTTTTTTAAATCTTATAGTGATGAGTGCTTTTGTGATCTCTTATTCTTTTTGAAGATGTATTGTTCCTTGCAAAATAACCAACAAATTATTTCTGAAATTAACTTTACTATTTTTGAAGTAACATAAAATTATCTAGAACACTTCTCCAGTCACTGGAAGTGTTTTAGTATCTTTATTGTAATTATCAAGTTTAAAAATTAGGGTACACATTTTTTTAATTAAATTATTTCTATGCTCAAATTCATAATTTGTATGTTACTGCAAAATGAGCAAATCAATTTCAGAATCATTTTTTTTTTGTCATTTTCAAGGGACAACAATACTGTACCATGTTTAGTAGGCCATATGTGAATATATTCCAATGAAGAACTATCTGGAATACAGTACGTCAAAAATCTACATACATTACATGAAAAGTTGAATTTAGAATTAATATATGTACATATATATTTTTTTCTCACAAGCTTTCACCTATACTGCGACTACTTCAACTTATATACTGTACAGTAATACATATGCTGGCATCGCAACCCCCTCCCACCCCAGACAGCTAAACATGCACTCATCTAGCAGTGCAATCAGCGGCGGCAGCTCCATAAATTGGCCTTCATGGAGCTCCAATATATCCAAAAGAGGGTCCAAGACAAAAGACGGCCTCGGTCAGTTCTTTTCTTTACCCTTCAGCTGGAAGGGTAACCCTTCCAGCTGAACTAAAGGCCACATAGAGTAGGTAGAGAATTTTAGTTCCCTGTTGAAAAAATACATATACTCAAATATTCTTATTGAATACTTAAGGATATTCTTAGATTTTAATAAAATTTTGTCTATAAAATTTTCAACAGGAAGTAGAACAACAATAATGACAAAGAAGAATCGGTTTCAATTTCATATTTTATTTTATTACATTTTCAAGAGACGAAAAAAAAACAAACATTAAAATTGAAAACAAAATAAAAAATTCAAGGTGAAAATTAGTTAGCAATACTCTGGGGACTGTCAAAATAATGTGTGAAACACTACAAAAATTACTCTCACATAAGTGGTGGGGGGGGGGGGGGGGGGGGGGGGGGGGGGGGGGGGGGTGTTTTGCTTGACCATAGAAACTGGTACATGGCATTTTGAAAATTAGCTGTTTTGGAGTACCATCCTTACCCCATTCTCCTTTTTTTCCCTTATGTTTGGGGGATCCTATCCCCAGCGCTCCCCCACCCACCCTTAATCCACTCTGCAAAATACTGTACTAGTTATAGCTGCACAAACACAACTACAATAACCAACTTTTTAAAACTTATTTGATTAAAATATTACAATAAAATATAATTTTAAAAATTTCAAATGTAGAAATTTCAAAAAATGAAATCAGACAATCACGACATCAAATTGCACAAATAGAAGAATTAAGTGCAGTACTTAAACTTCTTTGACTAGATAAAATTTGGTCTCAAAAATCTATTGCAAATTTTTCAGAAAATTATTTCTGATTACTTAATATTTTTTGGTAGTACACTGCTGTTTATTATTTTTAAAATTAAGGAACTCAATTAAAATTTAAATGATGTATGTAACTGTTTTTATTTATAAGTTAAATTGAAATAAAAAATATTTTTATTTTAAATGAAAACAGAACAATAATAATGATGATTATCATAATAAAATATAATTTCAAAATTGCAAACGTTGAAATTTCCGAAAATGAAGTCAGACAATCACGACATCAAATTGGACAAATAGAAGAGTTATGTGCAGTACTAAATTGAAATAAAAAATATTTTTATTTTAAATGAAAACAGAACAATAATAATGATGATCATCATAAAGCATTGTAAATTGGGAACTGAAGTTGTTTATAACAGTTTACTGTTTATTGTTCCTGTGTTATATAATAATGATGGAAAGCATTATATAAACAAACTAATGAATAACTGTTGAATAAATTTAAATAAATAAATGAAACTATAAAATATTAATGGAAAATGTTTAAATAGTTGTAAAGAAAACCAGAGTTATAGCCTATGTGCTATTCAAAAAATGTGCGTAACAGATATATCCTGATCCCAGTCAACTTTCCTGTAGCAGATTCGCCTGTGTCAGTTGGCAAAGTTTGTAAGGACTTTAGTTTGTTAGGGAGAGATTGTAGGGCGAAAGTTTTTCAAGAGGGTGAGTTTGTAGAAGGTATGGTCGTCAGGGGCGAGTCTGCTAGGGGGAGAGTTGACTGTTTCCTATTCTTTTGCTTTAGGACGGGGGTGAAGACAGCGTATAAAACTGATCTTACTACCAGTATACCCCGAATTAAAGTAAATGGTTGTTATATTGAAAAAAACTAATGAAAAATATACATAAATAACAATTTCTTTATAAAAGTATGTATACAAATTTAATAAATATTTTAAATATGTTTGTAGCAATACTCTGTTTAAGGCAGAAAACGAATGTATGAGAAAATTATTATTCACATGAATGGAAAAAAAAAGATTAGGCTAGTGTACTCAAAAGATTAAGTTACATGGTTATGTCATAGGGTCTGTGGTTACGTATGATATTGGTTCTTAATAGGTGGCCGATGGGACGGGCCCTTAAATCTGGCCCATGTGAAAAAAAGTAATTAAAAACAAATGATAATAAAATTAAAATAGATCATTTGATAAGTAATTTTTCCATCAGAAATGAAGACAAAAATGCAACCCTTGGACAACATCCACTGACAACGTTTCAGGAACACGGCTTGTCATAGAAGCTTGTTTAAAACATGTGGTGGTTTAAGGCTTCACTTGCTTTACTTGCTAATTTTCCTCAGAGATTTTGTCCACAAAGTGACTTCTTCCTCCAGGCTATTTTCCTCCAGCTATATTTCCCCGTGGTAATTTCCCCCAGTTTCCGATGTATTATTCAACCTAGTTTTCCAACCAAAATTTGTTATCAGTCCAGGTGGATCATATTTAATTTGTTTTTATTTTTGCTTTTTTTTTTTATTTCTCTATAAAATAGCGATCGTAACCAGAAAGGGCCCCAGTCTCGAAAAGCCACAGGGGCCCCCGGCCCCAGCGTTGCGCCACTGTTATAGATCAATTATTGTGTTGTTGTTGCAAGGTTAAACCATAAAAGG